CGTATGCGCTCGTAGCAGGTCAACGTTGTTAACCCTTCTAGCCTGATAGTCGAGAATTGATTAATTTGTTTTTCAATACAATATATTTTAATCTCTTTAATAGCGTCGTAATAATTCTCGGCGTTAATTGTCGTATAATGATTATTTTTAAGATTATAGAATATTACTAATTTGTCGGTTTGTTCAATCGAAACAAATTTATTATTATCCTTAAAAATTACCTGCTGCGGTAAATCGTTATTGTTTATTACATCTCTTATCGCTGGATGCGTTATTATTTTATCATTCGAAATAGGTAAAATTATATTTTAATTATTTTGCGCGTGTTTTATATTTCCCTCTATTTCAGTTATTTTGGAATTAAAAATCAGTTTAGTTTCTGCTTTTTTAAACTCTTCGAAATCGCTAATTGGCTCATCATTGGTAACAACATGTATACGTGATAAGCAATCCGCGTTCGAATGTTGTGGGCCTGCTCTATAGATTATTTCGTAATCGTATTCCTCGAGCTGTAATCGCCATCGCATTAACTGAGACGAAACGTCTTTTATATTGAATAAATACGTTAATGGACGGTGATCGGTGATTATTTTAAATTTTTTCCCGTATAAATAAGGCCTAAAATACTTTACAGCCCATACTATCGCTAACAATTCTTTTTGTATTACGCTATAGTTTGTTTCGGCGGTATCTAGAGTTCTACTTGCGTAAGCTATGGGTTGATCTCTAGGTACGTCACCTTGAGACAAGACCGCTTCAATTGCGTATTGGCTTGCATCGGTCATGAGGTTAAAATTCCCGTTTTCCCAATTAAGGTAGATAAGTAGAGGTGGATTCATTAACGCGTCTTTTAATTCTTGGAATGCGTCTTCACACATGTCCGTCCACACGAACGGTGTGTTTTTCTTTAATAAGCTAGTAAGAGGTTTTGCTATTTTGGCAAAGTTATCCACGAATCGGCGGTAATAATTTAATAAACCTAAGAATGACTTTACGTCTTTCTCGTTTAGTGGTCTCGGATATTCTTTAATACAACTTAATTTGTTTGGATCAGGCGTTACCCCGTTTTCGCTGATCACGTGCCCTAAATATAACACCTCTTTACGTAGAAACATACATTTACTAGGTTGCAATTTCAGTTTATGTAGTCTTAATCACGTAAACACCTGCTCTAACCTATTCTGATGATCTACTAAACTTGACCCGTGGACTACAATGTCATCTAGGTACGCCGTACATAACTCTTCCAAGCCCATTAAAATAGATTTCATGGCTCGAGTAAAAGTTGCAGGCGCAGAACTAAGTCCAAATGGTAAACGTAAAAATTCATAATGCCCTGATTTTGTAGAAAAAGCTGTTTTATGGGTGTCTCCCTTATCAATCATTATTTGATGATAACCGCTGGCAAGATCAAGTGTAGAGAAGTACTTAGATGAGCCTAAGGATTCTAGTATCTCTAATATATTCGGTAAGCCGTATGCTTCATTTTCCGTAACCTCGTTTAATTTTCGGAAATCTACACATACTCGTAACTTTTGGTTACCGTTCAGATCCTTTTTCTTTTTTACTACCACTAGTGGAAAATTAAATGGTGATAACGAATTACGTATTATATTCGCGTCTTTCATTTCTTTTACTTGTTTTTCTATCTCGTCCTGATACGCGTGCGGTAGCCTATATGGACGTATGTTAATCGGTTTAACACACCTAGGTGTATTAATTTTATGCGTAACAATGTCAGTTGCACTCAAAAGATCGCCTTCGAGAAAAAATAGATCAGAAAAACGGCTACACAGGTCTAATATGTTATCGCGTTCTTCGTGATTAAGATGCTCGGTATTAATAGTTTCTTTGATCCTTTTAATTCTATTCGAAGAGTAGTTGTTGCTTTCGCTAGCAATAAAAACGTTATCGTGGTACGGTTCCCATTTAAAATTACTCGTGGTTAATAATTGTTCGATTATAAACGGTTGTTCGGATATATTTATTATATTACTTATTATTTTATCACCTTTGACCGGACTGATACTATTAGCTATAATTACGTCTTCATTAATTTCATATTTTTTTTATCGTTATTGCTTCGTAATTGATTTCTTCGTCGGCTCTTATTTGTAATACACAATTACTCCTCAGCGGAATAATTAGTGCGTTATTAATTACTTTTTCTGGGATTATTAATACCTCTTTATCCAAATCCAAAACGACCTTATTTAGTTTTAAAAATGATATGCCTAATATACCTGCTTCGGGTATTGGAAAATTATCATGCACAATGTCGAATTTTACTACGAAAGGTTGTTTGTTAATATAAATTGGAATCACTACTGTTCCCACTGTCTCTACTGGACTTGCATGAATACCTTTAATTTTTTTCTTATCGTTTTCGTTCACGATTATATGCCCTTTTAAACTTGAAATTTTTATAATGTTCATTTCAGAACCGCTATCAATTAAAAATTTGATTTCGCTTTTAACAAATTTATCGGAAAAACATTTTATATGTTCCCGCGTTATAGGCGTTATTACGCGTACGTTATTTCCCGATTGTATTTCTTCGATGGATCTATTTTGATCGCTCCTATTATTTTTCTCCTCGAGTTTCTTTTTTTCATTATATTTTAATTTCCGATATTCGCTAATGTCGTGATTAGTTTTTTTACAATATTTGCAGAATTTGCTAGAATATTCGCGTTTAATTTCTGTCTTCGGACTTTGACCGCTGTTCGGATTTCTAAAAGTAGGTAATTTATGTTCGCTAGTTCTACACTCGTTTGCGTAATGACCGACTCGCTCGCAACTGTGGCATTTAACCGCGCTTTTATCGTTGAACTTTTTTTTATCGAATTTATTTTTATTATTCTGAAAATTATTATTCCCGAACGCGTTATTATAATATTCGGTGGATTTTTCCTCCTCCATTGCGTGTAAAACTGCTACTTCGAATACCTGAATATTGCGCGCTTTTAATATAATTCCGATAGACTGTGAGACTCCCGCTATGAATACGCTTAGTGCATGCGCTTGCACTGTTTGAGCTATAATATTTACTTGCGCTTGGTCTTTATCTACCGTTAACGCGTGTGTTAATTCGTGTGCAGTTTTTTCGATCCTAATCGAGAACTCTTTAATAGATTCTTTTGAATTTTGGCGCATCTGACTTAATTGTACCTGTAAGTACGACACTGAATGTGCCGAACCAAAAACGGTTTTAAATAAATTTTTTAATTCGTCCCAGGTGGTAATTACCTTATACCTAACGGCCTCGAATGCATTACCTTTTAGCTGGACCATTATGGCTTCTAAAATAATGGGTTTTAAAGTATTAGGGATTTTTTTAAAAATGAATTCGCATTTAGCCAAAAAGGAAGCTAAATTCGATTCTGATCCCCCCGAAAATGAAGGTACTAACTTGATTGCCCCTTCTAAACTTAGTTGATCTGGATTAGCCATTTTAATTCTTAGTGTAACGGGATTATATGCAACAATTTGCCAATTAGATCTATCTACAGACATACAATATTTTATTCAAATGACTTACAAATTTTGCACCCTGTAGTCTTGATTGCCCGTGAAAAATTGATTTTTGAAAACGTCCTTCCTGGACTGCCCTTGATTGAATGCTCTTACCGTCCTTCCTGGACTGACCTTGTTTGGAATGCTCTTGATTGAATATTCTTACTGCCCTCACTGGACTGACCTTGTTTGAATGCTCTTGCTGCCCTCACTGGACTGACTTTGTTTGAATGCTCTTTGGTCCTCCTTCCCCTTGACGTTGTGAACGTGGTTTCGTCGGTGGGTCTCAAAGTACTTTTTCCGATGTCCTCGAAAAGTTTTCGTCTGATGAAGTGAAACCCCACACCTGACACCAAATTGTATGTAGTAACCCGTCGCTCTCACTTGATTGGTTACTGCACACTTCTTTAACGACGAATGCACGTACACGTCGTCGCAATGAATCGGAGGATGGTGGTTGAAGTGAAGGTAGAGTAAGAATAGTTTAACACAAAATGTAGTTAATTATAGATATAATGTTTATTAACACGAAACTAATAATATAGTTAATTTTAGTAATTTAAAATTTGTCGACAGAATAATAATTCTACCGGAGAATAGTTGTAATTGAAATTATACTTGATGTGGACGGCAATGCGGCTGTTTCTAGTCCGCGACCCACATAAGTATTGTAAAGCACTGGTAATTACTTCTATGTCTGAAAAGTCTGTGAAACAGGGCCCCTATTTATATGAGACATGCCCGGGATTTAGGAAAGGATGATTGACGTCATAGGAATGGCGTGATGCGTAGTCGATCAGTATTAACCAATGAGGCGGCAGCCTCAGTGGCCTATTTTGGTGGCGTGATGTTGTTCAGGCCACCTAACCTTTGGAACGCCGTTTTTGTGCAAAACGTCGGTTTACTACAAGGGTCTCGTATTATTTTTTTTATTTCTATGGCCACTAGCTGCTCTAAGTATTCATTTTGACGTCAGTAGGTACAAGCTGAAGAAATTATATATATGTTATATTATTAAATATAATTAGATTTTATGTTATGAAATATTTTAGTTTTTTTTTGTAATAACAAAAATATGAATATAATAGTTCTTATACTGTTATGTATTTTCTTAAATTCTAAAATATTATTAAATATCTTTTCAGATAATGATTTGGTATCTCTCGTCGATAAGTTGACCACTCAGTTGAAGGTTGCAGACAAGAGTATCGCTGTGCTTGACGAACTTGAAAAATTAAAATCGTCAATCAGCGCGAAGGTTGAGTCATACCAGATTAAGCTTGAACACCTTTTTTTTTTTTTTTTTCTTTTTTTTTTTTTCTTCTGAATCGCCGACCGGGAGGGAACTGCGTGAGCATTACTTCCTCCCAGCAGCATCGTTTATTCAACAATTATATCACAAAAATAATACAAATTATAAATTACATAAAATGGGGGCTTCTAACCACCCTAGAGGGGCCTTCGGCCAACAAAATGTAACTTAACTAATGTTTTTTATTCTTCCTGCTGTCACAAGCTTCGCCACCCGAAATGTGGCCCATCTCGAAACCATTGTCTCTACATAGTGGGCATGAAGGAGTCTTGTTGCACCTCACTGCGATATGCCCATCTTCTCCACATCTCATGCACGTCTTCGTGCGATCTGGACCAGTGCAGTTCGCAGCGTAGTGTCCAAATCCTTGACATCTGTAGCACCGACTGGAGCGCTCCTTAAGGCGCACCTTACAGGTACTCCAGCCAATCTTCATTCTGCCCTCGAAAAGAAGTGCTTCCGCCACCCTCAGTGAGAGGAGTGCATCAACCTGCTTCTGTCCGCCAGGCGATCTTCTCATTTTTCCGATTCTGAACGGTTCCTCGCCGCTGCGAGCCCTCAGCGCATTACGAACGTCATCCTCATTTGCCGTTACGTCAACACCTCTGAACTCAACCGCTACCTTTTGCTGGAGCACACTTGCTTCTCCTAGATTTCCTATAGCTGCCGTGATTGCATCACTCAGTGCTATAGGGGCGGGTTGTTTGCCTCCTACTTCAAGCAGCAAGTTGCCAGCTTTAGTCATCCTCGTCCTTTCGATGGTGACCCCCATTGAGGTGAGGTCCACTTTCTCCTTCAACCTCGCAGCAATAGTAGCGTAAGAGGTCGTTGGATCATCGCCGTCCGCTTTCACTGCCTTGATCAGTACCGCATCTGGTTTCGCCCTCACTCTCTTCAACGTTTGTCCCCGAGGTGGTCGGGGGGGTCGAGAAGGTGGGGGGAGCTTGGCATTAACCTCTGCCGCATCATGCTTCCTAGTCCTAGGTTTCTTCATCTTGGCTTCGAACCATCTCCCTGGGTCCTGGTCCGCCGCGTTTTCACGTGTTTTCTTCTTCTTATCATATTTAGCTGCCCGGTTGGGGGCTTCTGGGGAGCTAGATGCTACAGGGGGGAGTAGGATACTGTTCTCCATTGCCCTCAGCGAAATCTCCGCGTGGCCGACCGCAATATGATGCAGCTTGCCCACCAAATCTGATACTTTTGCGCAGCTCTTCCTCAAAGGAGGTTTCTTCGTGTTCACCGCTTCCGTCAAGGCCACAAGCCTCGAGATCCAGTCTTTCAAAGGTTTGTGGACGTTTTTGTTTGCCTTCTGAAAATTGTCCATTTCCCCTATGACCCTCAACATTTGGTTGAGTTCGGACTCTAAATTAGTCCAATCTTCCCATATCATTTCACCGATGTCTTCATAATCCTTAATAGCCGAGTCCGTGTTTCCAATTCTTGAGTCCGTGATGGCCGGCCCCCCCCCCCCGAATCCGTGGGGGCCTGGGTCAGGGGTACGAAATCCTTTGAATTTTGAGCCATCTTTGATTTTTTGCGGCAAATTCTAGCCTGGTTTACAGTTTCCTTCTGGGTCCGTTCGCTAGCGTTAGCAGGTGGACCAGACCTGCCGCCCCCAACCAGTTAAGGTCAGAGGCGGCTCTGGAGGCTCCGACTCCGACTGGTTAAGGTCGGAGCCGGGGAGTTGGGTACCTCTTGGCACCGACCGAAGTCGGTGAGCCCCCCCACCACGTTAAGGTGGGTCCCGTCGGGGGGGAAGCTTGAACACCTAGAATCTCTCGAGTTTCGCGTGGTGTCTGATCTGGGCATCTGGCGAAAGGGGTTGATAAGTTCCAAGGACGAGAGTCGTCCGTCATGGCCAAGGATTGGCTGTTAGCCGTAAAGGGGTTGGCGTCCGTTAACGCTTGGCCATTTTCATATACCCCGCAATACCTGCGTATACACATAGAAGTCGCAGCAAAGAACTGGTTCATAGGTCGCTCGTTCTGCTATTGGGGCAAATTTGAAAAGAAATTCAGGACGACGTTCGTACGTGCATCGAGTGTCTCTGATAGATTTTATCTGATGAAGGCCCACAAACAAGGTAAAAACGAGAAAGGTTGAAGAAGATGATGTGTCGTTAACTTGTCTTTTGAACATTCGAAAGATTATCTCCCCCGTGGCTTGTATGTAAGGAATTTGGCATTGTATGTCGTTGGTCGATGGCACGTTGACGATGACGAGATACTCAAGGATATGCTCTCGTGGGACCGGAAGAACGCGTTGCACCAACATACAGGAGGCTTCGAATGTAAGACGGAGTTCGTGAAGACGCAATCTGCTGTAAAGAGTTCGACTTCCTGGGGTTCGGGGTCTGTAATTTAGCAGGTACAACTAAAACCGTCCGAAGCTAGTACGTCATCGGGAAGTTCGAATAACGGTGCTGTGATGTTCTGAAATTGCAGGACCGTCGGACATCTCTCGAAGGACTGTACTACGCATTGAAGGTCCATCAAAATGGTTGAGGTGTCGTAGGTCACTTTCGGCCGAATTGTTCGGAACGGGGCCAGTCGAGCGTGCCTGTGGTAGCACGTGAGACGAGAAGTCACCCCTACCGGAGGTTTGGGCGAATCAATGGCCGAGAAGTGGACGTTCTGATTGACACTTTTTCCCATTATAAATTTTTAAAGGCGAGCGTGGCTATAAGCTGTGGCCTCTAAGCCTACAGAAATGTTTCAGTTCGGACTGGGCAGTATCACCGTTCCTTCCTTGAGAGCCGTCGGTATGGATTATGCTGAGATCGCCGTAGATTACGTATGTCCTGGGCAAATTCCCATGTTAGTGGTGCCTGATACCGTCCAGCAGCCCGATGTGATTATAGGCCGTGAGTGGCTGGATATGCCCTCGGTAGAGTATCGCAAGGTTGACGGTCAGCTACACCTGTATCAAGCTGAGCCGTGCTTGGGCCAGATGGAAACCACCGTTACAATTGTTGGCTGTGACACTGATTACATACATACCGTGGAGCAACATGCGATCCCAGCTCGTTTACCGTTGGTGCAGGCCGAATTTGGGTATGTTAAACCCGATGTAACTGCTGTTCTACTGGAAGGTCTGATCGAACTCGTGAACGAATACCGTGATTGCTTCGCTAAGGACCTAGGTGAGCTAGGCTGTACGCCTTCGATGACTGTTGATATTAACGAAGTCCCAGGCAGTTGACCCGTGGTGTGTAGACCGTATAAGACCACCCCGTCTGATAGAGAGGAGATCGACAAGAAAGTGGCCAATTGGAAGTTGCATCGTGTGGTTCACGATACCATTCGTCCATACGCCAGTCCGGTGATTTTAGTGAAGCAAGCCGGATGGAAAAACCGACTTTGTATTGATGTCTGGAGACTGAACAAACAAACAGTTAAACAGGACTACCCCCTTCCTGATATGTTTGAGCAGTTGGAGTCTCTCGTGGAAGGCCGTATGTTCACGCAGCTTGACCTCGCAAGTGGTTATATGCAGATACCACTGTCTGCAGAGACTTCACAGAAAACCACTTTCATCACCACTGATACGACTGGAGAATTCACCCATCTTCGGAGCAGTGGCTGAGTTCACCCGTTTGATGCAGTGAGTTCTCGGGCCACTCCATGGCAAAATAGTTCAGAACTACTTGGACAATATGATAGTCAAAGGTCGTGACTGGCCTGACATGCTGAGAAACTAAGACTAGTGTTAGATCAACTTGGGGACGCTAAATTGACATTAAAGCCGTCAAAGTGCCAGTTTGGTATCTGTTAAGTGGAGTTTTTGGGTTTCGTGGTTGAGAAAAGCGAGATTTGCCTGGGTCGCGAAAAGACTAACGCGATTGTTGAATACCCCGTGCCGTGTGACGTGCATTCTGTTCGACGCGACGGTTCCTCGGAGTCACTGGATTTTTCTTTCTGTTCGTGCTCTCATATGCTATCAAAGCAGAACTGCTGACTGCTCTGTTGTGCAAAGGTGTGAAATTCCAATTTGCTGATGGTCAGGAGCAAGCGGTCCGCAAGCTGCAGGATGCCCTTGTTGGTGACATGGTGCAGTCCATGTTCCGGCGTGACACCAATGTGACAGAATTACACACCAACGCGAGTGCTGATTGTCTTGGAGCTGTTCTGTTACAATCTATGAAAAAAGGTGAAGGTTTGCGATTTTTGTACTGCGCCAGTCGTAAGACAAGTGATGCAGAATCCTGCTACCATTCCAGTAAGTTGGGGCTGTTGTGCCTGATGTGGGCCGTAAAAATGTTGAGACAGTTTTTGCTTGGTATAAAATTTGTTATCTTGACTGATTGTCAAGCATTAGTCTACTTGAAGAACTTTAAGAACCTGAACACTCAAGTAGCTCGTTGGCACGACTCCCTACAGGAGTAAAAATATGAGGTGGGGTACAGATAACGCATGTTGACTTGTCTTGAGCTCCGGTCTCAACTGAAGAACCGCCGCTGGATGATGTATTGACAGAGTGGATCGATGTCGTTGGTGTTCTATTGTCTGAAGAAGAACGAGTGGCAATGTGTCAGTCCTCAGATGTTTACAATGCCTTTCTCAAGTTGGACATGTGTACGACGGGTGACATCAGTGAGTTTGTCTTAAAAGATGGGTTGTTGTACAGACGCTACCACGATGAGCTGTTGTTCCTGATGCTGAAGAGCACGAGAAAGAGCCTTGTGGTCACCGTTCATGACCTTAGCGGTCACCCGACAGTAGATATTACTGTGGCCAATATATTACCCATATCCGCTACCAGTGTGGCCCGCTTGGGAGAGGTGCTAGGTGGGCTTAGAATTAAACTATATATATATGGCTTAGAGCATTGTCCTATTCAGTTGTCTTATCGTGCCATCCATACCTGCCGCACTGGAATCTCATGCTGTCGTTCTCCTCGTTTTTCTTCGGTACACGGATTGTAGTGTTAACCTGGTGATGAGGGAGGGAGGTCTAGGGGGTTCCTTTCACTTACCCTCGGCAGTTTGTCTCGCTCTCTCCTTATCCTCCTTACTCGTCATTATGTTCTCTAACATCTTATAAAAAATTCTAAATGTCTCCTAGAATTGTTTCCTTGTGCTCCGGGTTAACGGGAAGATTCTCAAATGCCGGTCCGCAGACTATATCCATCCAATCAGCAAGGCTCAGGAGGAAGCCTAGTTGGACCTCTAGATCCTCCCTGTTTCCAGACCAGTACGGCCACCCAAACAGGGCATGATTGACCGTGTCGGACACACCTTCGCATTGGTAGCAGCTCGAGCTGATGGCCATCTGGTACAGATAGTGCTATAAGCAACAGTGGCCCGTCATGTGGTATGTTAGAGACACTTTTGGTACTGTCCTCCCAAGCCACCTCTATTATAACGAGTCGTGTACATGAGGCGTACCATCTTGCTTGCCACAGTATGATGGTAACCTTCCGCTTCTAGGTCTTCACCTTTTTTTTTTTTAGAAGGGAGTGGTGCTCCAGGGATATTCCCAGTGACCATTCCGGTCCTGATCCTCAGTCTCTCCAAGCCAAGAAGGTCAATTGGAAGTATGTTGAGCCAGCAGCAGTTCGACCTCGTCAGGCACCGTCCGATATGCTCGTATCACCCCCTGAGGTACTGCAAACATTGGTGAGATACTCGTTGATTGCATCCACGGCCGCTGTTAATCTCACGACAGGATCACCGAGATCTGAGAGAACCAGCGGATTTGAGGCGATAAACTCTGAGATAGTACTCCCTTTCAGTTTCTTTACTGACCAGCCGACGTGCTGCCTTGCCTTTAGCGGTGACGCATCGGGGACGGGATCTGCCTCGGCTTCATAAAAACTGAACTAGATGTACTGGTGATCACTATAAGATACGATATCTAGGACTGCCCAGCCAGTGACCACAAAGTGACATGGATGACTGAGGTGGCGTTGCCATTCTCGAAGGTGGGAGCGATCCCAGTATTTACTGTCGAGAAGATCGTGACTTGCAATAAGGTTAGCCTGGAGTTCACCTCTTCTACCGTTTCTTCTGAATCCCCAGATACTGTTTTTCGCGTTAAAATCACCGGTCAGGGTTATTCCTTGTTCGGCATGGAGACGGAGGGAAGGTCAAAGTTGTCGAGGAACTCGGAAAACTCCCAGATTTGTCAGTTCAGAGAATAGTAGCAACTATATACGACAGTGCTGTCGAAGCAACACTATGCAAAACAGTTTGGGCCGTCAGAATTGTTGTGCATAATATCAGCGTTTCCGGGTGTTGGTATAGTTTACTTAGCTTCTGAGCTCAAGACCCATCCATCATTTTTATTACGCCTCCTCCAGGGTTTGTTCACAATGAGCAATTAAGAATTTCGCTCCAAGGCAGTTTGTTGCAGCAAGCTTGCGGCGCTATATGCTCTGTTTAGGTTAATC